TTACGAGAAAGTTTCTCAATATAACGAGATACTAAGTCATAATTTTGAGAAAGTTTCTCAATATAACGAGATACTAAGTCATTATTACGAGAAAGTTTCTCAATATAACGAGATACTAAGTCATTATTACGAGAAAGTTTCTCATTATTACGAGAAAGTTTCTCATTATTACGAGAAAGTTTCTCATTATTACGAGAAAGTTTCTCATTATTACGAGAAACTAAGTCATTATTACGAGAAAGTTTCTCATTATTACGAGAAAGTTTCTCATTATTACGAGAAAGTTTCTCAATATAACGAGATACTAAGTCATAATTTTGAGAAAGTTTCTCATTATTATGACTTACAGAATTATATATTTTTTTATTCAGTGTCGGAAACGGGCTTCCATATATTTCTGACTGTAATGTTATTAAAATAATAATTGAATGATCAGCGTACACCGTTAAAACGAATCCATCAAAATGATCATACTTTCTGTTAATGTATCAGTGTTCACGTCTTTTTCCCTTTACATTTGGTCTTTTTGACATTTTTAATGAATTAATGAAAAGAAAAAAACTATAATTAAAAAATTTATTTTTATTTTAGACGTGATGGAAGAAGTGATTGAAGCGGGGAAGAAACATCATGACATCAAAACTGATGAAACATCCTTGAATCCCTCGTTGCAAACAAGAGCCCAAATATGTTTCACTTGCCCTCAGTGTGGAGAGAGCTTCTCATGCGAACAAAGTCTTAATCTTCACATGAAACTTCACAGTGGAATGAAGCCGTACGCATGTGATCAGTGCGAGAAGACTTTCAGGCAAAAAGTAAACCTTGCCAAACACCGTAAAATCCACACTGACGAGAAGCCACACACGTGTGATCAGTGCGGGAAGAAGTTCAGAAATAAAGGAAACCTTAATGATCACATGAAAATCCACACGGGAGCGATGCCGTACACGTGTGATCAGTGCGGGAGGAAATTCGGACATAAAGGAAACCTTAATAAACACATAAAAATGCACGCCGGAGAGAAGCCCTGGAGTAAAACCACTGGAGAAAAACGGCACGCGTGCACTCAGTGTGGAAAGAAGTTCAGACAAAAACACCTCCTTGATCAACACATGAGAATCCACACTGGAGAGAAGCCGCACTCACATGAGAATCCCCACTGGAGAGAAGCCGCCCTCGTGCGATCACTGCGGGAAAAGTTTCACACGAAAACAGATCCTTAATGATCACATAAAAATCCACACGGGAGAAAACCTGCACACCTGTGATCAGTGCGAGAAGACTTTCAGGCAAAAAGCAAACCTTACCAAACACCGTAAAATCCACACTGACGAGAAGCCACACACATGTGATCAGTGCGGGAAGAAGTTCAGAAATAAAGGAAACCTTAATGATCACATAAAAATCCACACGGGAGCGATGCCGTACGCGTGTGATCAGTGCGGGAGGAAATTCAGACATAAAGGAAACCTTAATACACACATGAGAATCCACGCAGGAGAGGAGCCCTGGAGTAAAACCACTGGAGAAAAACCGCACGCGTGCACTCAGTGTGGAAATAAGTTCAGACAAAAACACCTCCTTGATCAACACATGAGAATCCACACTGGAGAGAAGCCGCACTCGTGCGATCACTGCGGGGAAAGTTTCACACGAAAACAAATCCTTAATGATCACATAAAAATCCACACGGGAGAAAACCTGCACACCTGTGAACAGTGCGGGAAGAGTTTCAGAAAGTCAAGTGTTTTCAAAGTGCATCTGCTCACTCATTCTAGAGAAAGAATTTATAACTGTGACCAGTGCAGTAAAACATTTTTTAGGCCGGATGCCCTGAAGGACCACCTGAAAATTCATACACAGGAGAGGCCTTATGTATGTTCTTTGTGTGCAAAGAGCTTTAGGCAGCTGAATGGTTTAAAAGTACACCAGAAAAGACACAGCGGTGTGAAGGATCACATTTGCTCGGAGTGTGGAAAGACTTTTTTTACACTCTATGTACTGAAACAGCACCAGACAGTTCACACCGGAGAAAAACCTTACCAGTGTTCACACTGTGACAAGACGTTCAGTATTTTAGGAAACCTGAAAAGACATAAGAGTGTCCACACTTGATAGAAGCCATATATCACTGCCAGTCATGTGAGAAGAGTTTCACGCAATGAAGGCATGTTTAGTTCATATTCTTGTTCAGATCTTGTACTTTCAGGTGCGATGCTGCGTCCTCAATGAACTATCTGACCATTCTTTGCATGTGTGTGTGTGTGTGCGTTGCTTCAGGAGAGCAACCCTACATTTGTGTTGTTTTATTTTCTTTCTTATGTACAGGTGCATCTCAATAAATCAGAATGCCGTGGAAAAGTTCATTTATTTCAGTAATTCAACTCAAACTGTGAAACTCGTGTATTAAATAAATTCAATGCACACAGACTGAAGTAGTTTAAGTCTTTGGTTCTTTTAATTGTGATGATTTTGGCTCACATTTAACAAAAACCCACCAATTCACTATCTCAACAAATTAGAACACTTCATAAGACCAATAAAAAAAACATTTCTAGTGAATTGTTGGCCTTCTGGAAAAGTATGTTCATTTACTGTACATGCACTCAATACTTGGTAGGGGCTCCTTTTGCCTTAATTACTGCCTCAATTCGGCGTGACATGGAGGTGATCAGTTTGTGGCACTGCTGACGTGGTATGGAAGCCCAGGTTTCTTTAACAGTGGCCTTCAGCTCATCTGCATTTTTTGGTCTCTTGTTTCTCATTTTCCTCTTGACAATACCCCATAGATTCTCCATGGGGTTCAGGTCTGGTGAGTTTGCTGGCCAGTCAAGCACACCAACACCATGGTCATTTAACCAACTTTTGGTGCTTTTGGCAGTGTGGGCAGGCATGGTCAAGTCAAGTCAAGTCACCTTTATTTATATAGCGCTTTTAACAATACAGATTGTGTCAAAGCAACTGAACAGCATTAATTAGGAAAATAGTGTGTCAATAATGCAAAATGACAATAGTAAACACTAATTTTCCAGTTAAAGACAGTTCATCATTGAATTCAGTGATGTCTTCATTCAGCTCAGTTCAGTTTAAATAGTATCTTTGCAATCATTTGCAATCAAGTCAACAATATCGCTGGAAATGAAGTGTCCCCAACTAAGCAAGCCAGAGGCGACAGCGGCAAGGAACCAAAACTCCATCGGTGACAGAATGGAGAAAAAACCTTGGGAGAAACCAGGCTCAGTCGGGGGGCCAGTTCTCCTCTGGCCAGACCAAACCAGCAGTTCAATTTCAGGCTGCAGCAAAGTCACATTGTGCAGAAGACTCATCTGGTTCCTGTGGTCTTGTCCCGGTGGTCGTCTGAGACAAGGTCTTTACAGGGGAATAACATCTGTATCTGGTGTTCATCTAGTTGTCCTGGTCTCCGCTGTCTTTCAGGGCTGTAGAGGTCCTCTCTAGGTGCTGATCCACCATCTGGTCTGAATACGTACTGGATCCGGGTGACTGCAGTGACCATCTGATCTGGATACAGACTGGATCTGGTGGGTTGTTTCAGGGTTGGCATCATCTGAGGTCCTCTGAGGGGTTGGCATCATCTCTTCTCAGGTGTTCTGGATCCAGACTGAAGCTTGTGTAAATCCTAGTTACCACGGGATGTCAATCCTGTGGCAAAAACAGAGAAACAAATAGGGACATAATTAGCGTAGCTGCTGTTCCAACCAAGCAAAATTTATTTGTTTAACCCAAACTAAAGAATAATAATGTGCATTTGATCAGATATAACTGCAGTACAAGATTATGATATGCATTATTTGAATGCTTGGCCAAAGAGATGTGTCTTTAATCTAGATTTAAACAGAGAGAGTGTGTCTGAACCCCGAACGTTATCAGGAAGGCTATTCCAGAGTTTGGGAGCCAAATGCGAAAAAGCTCTACCTCCTTTAGTGGACTTTGCTATCCTAGGTACTACCAAAAGTCCAGAGTTTTGCGACCTTAGGGAGCGTGATGGATTGTAGCGTGGTAGAAGACTAGTTAGGTACGCAGGAGCTAGCCCATTAAGGGCCTTATAGGCAAGTAATAATATTTTGTAACTGATACGGAACTTAATAGGTAGCCAGTGCAGAGACTGTAAAATTGGGGTAATATGATCATATTTTCTTGACCTGGTAAGGACTCTAGCCGCTGCATTTTGGACTACCTGTAGCTTGTTTATTGAGGATGCAGGACAACCACCTAGCAGTGCATTACAATAGTCCAGTCTAGAGGTCATGAATGCATGAACTAGCTTTTCTGCATCAGAAACAGGTAACATATTTCGTAGTTTGGCAATGTTTCTAAGATGGAAGAATGCTGTTTTTGTAACATGGGAAATATGATTTTCAAAAGACAAGTTGCTATCTAATATAACACCCAGATTTTTGACTGTAGAGGAAGTAACTGTACATCCGTCTAGTTGCAAATTGTAATCCACGAGATTCTGTGTACTGTCTTTTGGTCCAATAAGTAATATCTCTGTCTTATCCGAGTTTAATAGGAGAAAATTATTGGTCATCCAATCTTTTACATTTTTAACACATTCTGTTAGCTTAGATAATTTAGAAGTTTCATCTGGTCTTGTTGAGATATATAGTTGAGTATCATCTGCATAACAGTGGAAGCTAATCCCGTATTTTCTAATAATATTACCAAGGGGCAACATGTATATCGAAAATAGCAGAGGACCTAGGACAGATCCTTGTGGCACTCCATATTTTACTGGTGATAATTGAGATGACTCCCCATTTAAATGAACAAGGTGGTAGCGATCGGACAGGTAGGATCTAAACCATCTTAAAGCCTGCCCTTGAATACCTGTATAGTTTTGTAATCGATCTATGAGTATGTCATGATCTATAGTGTCGAACGCAGCACTAAGATCAAGTAAAACTAGCAATGAGATACAGCCTTGGTCTGACGCAAGAAGCAAGTCATTTGTAATTTTAACAAGTGCAGTTTCTGTGCTATGGTGGGGCCTGAAACCTGACTGAAATTCTTCATAGAGATCATTTTTTTGCAGGAAGGAGCGCAATTGAGCGGACACAACTTTTTCTAAAATTTTAGACATAAAAGGAAGATTTGAGATGGGTCTGTAATTTGCCAGTTCACTAGGATCTAGTTGTGGTTTCTTAATAAGAGGCTTAATAACCGCCAGCTTGAATGGTTTTGGGACGTGACCTAAAGACAACGACGAGTTAATAATATTGAGAAGCGGTTCTTCTGCTACAGGTAACAACTCTTTCAGTAATTTAGTGGGTACAGGATCTAACAGGCATGTTGTTGGTTTAGATGCAGTGATAAGTTTATTTAGCTCTTCCTGTCCTATAGTTGTAAAGCACTGCAGTTTATCTTTTGGTGCGATGAATGAAGCTGAAGTATTATACGCTGTAGAATCTACATTTGTTATTGTATTTCTGATGTTATCTATTTTATCAGTGAAGAAATTCATAAAGTCATTACTATTAAACTGTGAGGGAATATTTAGATCGGGTGGTGTCTGGTTATTTGTTAATCTAGCCACTGTGCTAAATAAAAACCTTGGATTGTTTTGGTTATTTTCTATGAGTTTGTGGATATGCTCGGCCCTGGCAGCTTTTAGAGCCTGTCTATAGCTGGACATACTGTTTTTCCACGCAATTCTAAAAACTTCCAAGTTCGTTTTTCTCCATTTGCGCTCAAGACTACGAGTTTTTTTCTTGAGAGAATGGGTATTACTGTTGTACCATGGCGCAGTACGTTTTTCTCTAACCTTTTTCAATTTGATGGGGGCAACAGCTTCTAATGTATTAGAGAAGATAGTGCCCATGTTGCTAGTCATTTCGTCTAGTTCATGTGTACTTATTGGTACACAGAGCAGTTGAGATAAATCAGGCAGGTTATTTGTGAATCTGTCTTTGGTGGCTGGAACAATAGTTCTGCCCAGACGATAACGCGGAGCGATATAGTTATTATCAGTAATACGCAGTATGCACGATACAAGGAAATGGTCAGTAACATCATCACTTTGAGGTACGATATCTATATCAGTAAGATCAATTCCATGCGATATAATTAAATCTAGCGTATGATTAAAACGATGAGTGGGCCCGGTGACGTTTTGCTTGACTCCAAAAGAGTTTATTAGGTCAGTAAACGCAAGTCCTAATGCATCATTTGTATTATCAACGTGAATGTTAAAATCTCCGACAATTAGCGCTTTATCAACAGTAACCAATAGGTCTGAGAGGAAATCTGCAAATTCTTTTAGGAAATCTGTATATGGCCCTGGTGGTCTATACACAGTAGCCAGAGCAAGAGATACGATAGATTTCTTTTGCATATCTGACAGTGTAACATTAAGCATTAGTATTTCGAATGAGTTAAACCTGTATCCTGTCTTCTGAGTAACATTGAGAATATCACTATATATTGTTGCAACACCGCCGCCACGACCAGTCTGACGGGGCTCATGCTTATAACAGTAGCTTGGTGGAGTAGACTCATTTCGACCAATATAATCATTAGGTTTTAGCCAGGTTTCAGTCAAGCAGAGTACATCAAAACGATTATCTGTGATTATTTCATTTACAATAACTGCTTTGGGTGAGAGTGATCTAATGTTTAGGAGCTCAAACTTTAAAAATTGTTTTTGTTCATTTATTTTACATTTTTCTGGTTTAATCACGATCAGATTTTTTCTAGATCCTGCATTAAATTTATATTTTGACCTCACTATTCGGGGAACAGACACAGTCTTTATAGATTGGACAGCATAAGTACTTCTATCATTTAAGCGGGTAGAACACAAGTCATCAGGGCAGTTATTTGAGATTTGACTTACTAGTCATATGGTGCGTAGCGTCCTGGAGATGTTGTCCGACATGAGTTCCGCACCTACTCTGCTGGGGTGCAGGCCATCAGCTCGATAAAGCCTAGGACGCTCCCAGAAAAGATTCCAATTGTTAACAAAGAGCAGTTTCTGTTCTTTACACCATGACTGACAATAACCATTCATTTAAAGCAAAAAGTCTACTGAACCTTTCGTGTCCTCGTCGATATGTGGGAAGCGGTCCTGACACGATGATCGTCGTAGCGGGCGATGTGCGGCGCACCGTCTCGATCAGGCTCCTGAAGTCCCTCTTCAGTGTCTCCGTCTGATGCAGCTTGGTGTCGTTAACCCCGGCATGAAGCATGACTGCTCCGGGGCTCTCGTCGCCTTACACGAGCACCAGGGAAACAGTGAGTGTGCACTTTACCTTCAGCT